TTTGTTGTCATATTTTGATTGTGTTATTAAAAAAATGTACTTAACGAAAATTAATAATATTTTCAGGAATTTGAAATTCGATCGAATTGAATATATGATGACCGTGATGTAAGACGCTAATGGAAAAGACATTAAAATAAGAAGGTAACATTTTCAAAACATCTTTGTCCAGAGAAATTTTTTATTTCCTGATGATTGTTCTTGTAGCATGATATTTAAAGATTATAAATAAGAACGGCCAGCTGAATATTCAAACAAATATTATTCTGACCTATTATAACTTGTATAACTTGGACAAATATTTTAAAGATTTTTTTTTATTGCAGTAACAACAGCGGCGTCACATTAAAAAAAATGTTTTAATCATACAGTTTTGGAGATTATAATGTTATAATACTATGTTGAAATCTACAGCCATTCCGGTCATTGAACAGGATTAAAAGAGATAATTCAAGCATAGATTTTATGAACTTAAAAAACTGAGAATACCTACTAAACTAATGAAAAAATTCAAATAAAAAAGTTTTTCCTAAATTTTAAAATTCCTTTAATTATGAAATGATGAATGTTTTAAATTATTACAAAATGGAATGGGGAAATATTTAAAACAAATTTGTGATATCATTCACTTTGCGCGGGTTTATTTTTCACGCCATTTTCTTCGATATTTTCGTTATAATAACTGTTGAAATTGATTGCATGCACTAAATTGACGAGTTTTGCTCCACCTAATTGGTCTGATGTCATTTCTTTGATACTATTGAGTAGTTGAAATAAAAATGTATCGAATTGCTTGCCATATTCTTTGATATTTTCTTGCCATTGTATTGAAACGTTTATACCGGCATCTCTTTGAATGAACTTTGCGAAATTCAAACAAACGCCGCACATACTAATCACTGGGCGTAGTATATTTAGATGATTGAGACAACAATTTTGCAAGCAAACGTGTAGAAAATCCTGATGTATAATAATAACTTCGTCTATATTTCGTACGTTTTTCATACGCTCGGTGAAAGCATGCCAATTCGGCTCGATGATCTCGATCAGCATATAGTTTTCCAAATGCTGAATTGCATTAAACATACGTTGACGTAGAGCAAATGCGATGCGCCATTGTGTCTTATTCTCTTTTGACATACCTGGGATAGAATCCAAAAACAAAAGAATAGAAATAATCAACTCAAATAATCGAAATAATGGAAACATATAGTAAAAAGGAAAGTGAATCCTTTTGGAAATCTTATAGTACATATTACAATTAATATATGAATTACAATTAAATATATATATTTAAATGACGATAATGAAAATAATCTTTAAATGAAACATACCTTTGCTGATTCCACACATTTCGATCCAAACTTTGCACAATTGACGTTCTACATGTTTGCAATAGAAAAGCAAACGAAACAGCATCTGGTATTGTGACAGAGACCATGGATTAAGAATGATTGAGACCGGCCATTCGACTTTGTATCCAAATGCAAAACACTCTAATCCACTTAAACTTGAATTATATGGGCTAGTAAAATCAACTTCTATATTTTTCTGACTACTTGTCTCGTTCATTTTCGATACTTGTTCAATCAGATCCATTGTAAATATATCGCAAAATAGATGATCAATGCATGGGTCATTTTTGGCAGACGATAACCGTACAATTAATTGAAGTAAATTATC